GAAAGTGCATGGTTTTTTTTAATGACACTTTAATGCACATTAAAATAGACTAATGTGCATTAAAGTGCACATGTAGACGTGCCCCTAGAGCCTTGGGAAGGCAGTGGGGCAGACTTCCTGATTATGAATAGGTGGCCGGCTGAGACCTGGAGCTCAACTGCGGACTCCTTACCTGGACTCCAAACCAATGCTCAGAAAGATCACTGGGAAACTTTCAACTGCCCTCTGTGAGCTTTGGGTCAGGTGTTGGCAGAAACAGGACCATTGCCTTCATTGGTACTACCCACCAGGGACAGAGAACCAGGAGCTTGATTTGGATTTACTCTGGGACAGGAATTTCACCTGAAAATAGATGACGGTAGGTAGCATTTCATGAAGTCATCACATCTTGCATATTTTTTTTCTCTGACTGGAAGTCAGGAAATGTGCAAAGTATGTCATTTTTAATTGGCTGCCCCTGGGCATAAAGGTTCAGCATAACTGGCTAGGGAAACGATCCCAGCACATGGGAGAAAACGCCCACTGTGGACTAACACATTATTTCACAGCGCACTGACACGGAGACAAAGAAGTTAAAATGGGAAGGCTGCATTGCGCGAAGGTGGATTAATCACAGACAAAAAGGAAATACACCTGGTAGGCTACTGTCTGACTAGGGTTGCCAACCCTCCAGGATTGCCCTGGAGTCTCCAGGAATTAGATATAAATCTCCAGGATGCTGCTGAGAGTCACCCAGGAGATAAATGACAGGGCATTCATTAAAATAAACATTAAATGTTAAATCCGATTTACATGGTAGTCCAGTTTTTAAAATGTAATAATCGGGTCAGTGGGTTTTAAAAATATAATAGAAATGTGCCTTCCTGATGTAATGACTCATTAATGTCATTATGTCAGGTGATGAAACCTCCTGGAATAGAGTCAAACAGAATTGGCAACCCTAGGTCTGACACAGGGAAAAACTGGGGTGAAAAAGGACACCAGGTAGCTTGGAGAGATCAACAAGTCAGGGTGAATCCTTAAATGCAAAGACATCCACACAGATATTAAATGAATTGTATTCATTTGGTGCTGGTGAAAAGTGCAAGGCCAACAGCTTTCTAGACCAGCTGTAGGTAGAGAGCAGGAACAGCCCACGTGGTGACAATGCAAGCTCCTTTTAATGCTCTTCTCACCAAAGTTTTGATGCTCTGTCCCTCGTCGTACGAATCTGCGATCTCATAACTGTTCCCACCTGATGCCTTCAGGTCCCTTACACACGTGTTCACTTTTATTCTACATGACGATAACTAGAGAATCCTGATATCCTGATATCACCAAAAAAAAAAATCAGACTGCAGCAAAACCAATGCTATTTGTAATTAGGGCCAGATTTTCAAAGGTATTTAAGTGCCTAAAGATGCAGATATGCATCTTGGCACCTTGGGAAATTTATTCCTAGACACCTTGGGACAGGTTGTGAGAGCCAAATTTGGCTTCCAGTTACACCAGTTTTAATCCAGAAGTCCATGGTGTAACTGGGAACAACGTTAGGGACCTTTCTAAGTACGCAGCCTTTATTCTGCAAATATTTACATTAGGATTTGGACTTGTTGCAGTGACTCAGGAGCACCAGCAGGTAGCAGCATCAGATGCTATGAAAGTGTTTATAAATCTTTCCTTTAACTTTAGTTTTGATTCTTTCATTTCAGGATTGATCACCCTAAGAGGATAACATTATTTAGAGCAGAAAAAGGGATTGACCCGGTAACTCTCATCCAGGTGGGTAGCTTATAATTTCATATATGGACTCCATGAAGACAACACCTGGGGAAGGTGTTATTTCTACACATCAAAATAATTTGTATGAATAAAGACAGCAGAATTGGATCACAGCACAGCGAAGAGGTTTTCAGTCTCCACACCTCAGGAGTGGTAGAAAACGTGCAGGATAAACATGAGAGCTTCTCCATAAGCTGCATAGGACTGCTTTATTTAAGACGAGAAGGACTCTTCATGGCAAATTGCGACCACAGGTTACCTTAAATGATTTAGAAACATCTTACATGGAGTGTTTTTATTTGTGAATCAAGACACTGGGACATTTTAGATAGGGCTTATATTTGGGGAGGTAGATAAGGTATTAAGATGTCTACCTTGTGAGTATATGTATCATATAATATGTTCAAGTAATGATAGGCTAGCATTACACGGTATCATTAAAACAGAGGGTGAAATGTGTTTGCAATTAACTATGGGCAAGCACTTATGCATACCTATGACCTTCTCAGAAATCAGGGACAGTTTAGGGACAAGATAAAAAATCCCTAATAGCACCTGCAGCAACGACCTGATACGGCGGTGGTACCAGCAAGATGCATACCGGAGGGATGGGGCATCTGCTGGATCCCCTTGGGACTGCTCTCTGAGATGGTGATGAGATCACAACTATTAGGTAACTCCATTTGGAAAACCTGGGGAGCTCATTTCCATATATCAGAATAAAAAAAGACTTTCACAACCCTGGAAAACATCCTTTTTCCCTACTGGCTTGTTGCCACTCTCACTGCTCCCGCAGGAAGGAGCCACTGGAAACCACCTTTGTGGCATCACTGGAAACCACCTCTGACAGCATGGCAACAGTAGGATCATTTGGTGTGGAGAAGCGGCACTGCGGCATGACGGAGCAGGATCATTCTGCCCTCTAGTCTGGACAGTGCCAGATTGCTCCAGGGAGAATGAAGCTTTATGAGAAGGCAGAGACAGGATAAGAACCAGGCTCTTGTGAACCTCTGTGCATCAGTATGAAGAGCTGGGCCATGTTATCAGTGGTATGGATAACATTGATAACATGTCCCCTGCTAACTAGGGGGAACATTTCACTCGGGTCTCAAATTTTCCACTCTAGAAATTTTCCTCTCTAGGTTTAGCAGCTAGAAAGAAGGAAACACTTTGAAACTGTGAATCTTCATCTGAAGACAGCACGTGTAGCGCCCAAGGTAGGTCACCCTCCTGGAAAGGGATATGGCAGGCACTTCAGCTGGTGACAAAGGAAGATCCTTCTCTTCCTGTCTGAAGAGAGGCAGTTTGGTGCTGTTCGAAGCAGCTTTTTGGTGCAGGAGGTACCTCTTGTTTTTTTGGCAGTGGAGCTCTTCTCCCGTAGGGCCAAAGCAACCAGCTCAAACCTTTAGAGCCAACTCCCACTCCAACTTCAAACAGGTGCAGCCAGGGCTGTTTCGACATCGGAAATCTTCAGGCTGGAGCAATACCAGGAACATGAAACACCAGTGCTTTGGCAAAATGCCCAGGCTAAGATGCAGGGGTTTATGCAACACACATCTGGCGCCTGACATCATCACAACTTATATACTGGCTGCCTAGAAAACAGGTTGTCATGTCAATCCTAGGTAAATGAGATTAAAACCTGAGCAAGGTTCACCCAATGTGTTAGTCAGCACTCGCTGTCAAGTATGGAAGGCACTCCGATGTCACAGAAATAGTCATGGCCTCACTGCCTGGACAGATGAGATGCGACGTCAGAGCCAGTTCTTTAGGCTGTAAATGACAACAGCTACTTTTTAAATGGTCTGAGAAGAATCAGTTCAGTAGATTAGTATAGACATTCGGGGCACCATGAATATGAGAACGAGAATAAGCTCGTGTGAAACACACGCAGCACAACAGGTTTAGATTATGCCTCGGAGCGGGGAAAGAGAGGCTTCTGAGCAATAAGGGCCGTGGGACAAGCTGCCTCCAGAAGCTGGGGAATCTCCTTTGTCAGAGGTTTTCAGGAAGAGGCTGGATGGGCACCTCTCTGGGATGCGTTAAGATTAACACTTCCAGCAGCTGGGCAGGGGATGGGATTACAGGCCCCTTGAGGTCCCTTCCATCATTCTCTGACTGGAAGGCAGGCACCATCTGGTTTGACTTTAGACAACCCCTTCACTCTTCTGCCTTGATTTCCTCATCTGTAAAAATGGGGTTTTCTAGGGATATAGAGTTCATTTCCGTCTGCAAGGTACTGAGTTCATTGCAAAGAAGGCTCTACATTTTGCAGAACAACGTTACTCAGCTATATTAATCTTTGAGATTTCACTTAGGGATATTTCCACACTCAGGCTAGGTCCAACAGCTTCATTGCACTATTTTTATTTAAGAAAAGTGTGAGTTGCACACCATGTCCTTATCCAGTCCTTCTGGAAAGAACAGCACTTTCTGAGCTTAACAAATGAAACATCCATCACGTGTAAAAAGTATTCCCAGGGCAATACAATCAGTCATGGTAATAATAATAATAATAATAATAATAATAATAATAATAATAATAAATTAAGAATTTAAATATAAAATTACAACAGATATCATTATAAATTGCACGGAACATTATAAAATAGGAAATAATTGTAATAAATAAATGAATAAATAAATAAAATAAGTACATACATACATACATAAATAGATAAATAAATAAATAAATAAATACCAGCAACAGATAATAATGGAAACGATGAATAAAAATAGCAAGTTATAAATAATAAGAAGTCTCTGGAAAGTTCTTCACTGAAGACAATATTTCTCTATAAGAAGATATGTGAGCCATCAGTAGAACAACGGCCAGGTAGTGCAGCTTAATTGCACTGGAGAGTTAATTACACAAGCCTTAATCCAGCCAAATGCTTAATTAGGGCACAGATGACTCTCCTGGGACTATTCATCTGCTTCAAATTATACATTTGTTTAAGTGCTTTGCTAGACTAGGGCTATAGGCTATATGGGCCTGACCCCACAGGGGTCTAATGCGGTGCAGGGCAGTCTCGGTTCAGAAGATGAAAGACCTAATCCTGTTCCCGCGAATCAACCTTCCTGCTGACGCCAGTGGAAGCTGTAATTCAGGTCTCCAAGAAATATTAAATGATGTAGGGCTTCATCCTGTCCGCTTTGTTTGCTCAGTATCAGTTCGAAGTGTTGACTGACTATTGCTTGCAGGATTAGGCCACCAGATGAGGGACACAGATCTTCACCTAATCAGTCTTGTCCATCCAGTCCAACAGAATATCCAGCTCCCCAAGAGCTTTGATGGCTGCAGACTGAATGTCCATCTGGAAGGGAACAGAGAGGATTATCCCCCTAAGCAGCTACTTCAGCCACGACAACCGAGGCACGTTCTCAAGCAATCTCTTGGTTTCCCAGCAAGACCCGACTGTGGGCCTGCAACTGAGAAAGAGCGGATCTGTGATGCATCTAAAATGGTGCTCTGCTCACACAGGCACATCCCTCCCCACCCTCAGGCTGGCCACATCTGCTGCTTCCATTTGTTTTTCTGTTATAAAGTTTTTAAAAAATGATAGTGCTGGTGACAGCTTATTTGATACCCGAGACTGGTGGGCAGAGCTCAAAGCAACATAGGCCTGTTCCTTCAGGGGACAGGGGAGCCCCAAAAGTCAACCACACAAGAGGGGCAGAAGAAAAATGGACAAAAGGGCAAGGCGTGCACATCAGAGTATCTAAAGAAGATGGCCCTTAGCAGAGAACTCCCATTTGTCCCCATGAAAGCCCTGAAACTTGACAGCTTTTGCTGAATAGTTACAACGTGAACCTCAGAAACCAGCTGTGTCCTGCCACTGTTGGCCTGGAGAGGAAGGACTATGTCCCAACTCAGCTTTGAGGCAGCCCCCATATAAGAGACACCTGCCTCCAGAAATCCCTCTGCACTTCATTAGCTAAGTCAAAAGGCAAACATGGATGTACCTCTTCAAACCGGCTCAGGATCCGTGTGTATTTTTGCTTCACATCCTCTGTGCAGTGACACATGCCAGCGTCATGCTGGGGAAGGATAAAGGTCATGGAATTAATGGTGGGCACACAGGAAAGGAGGATACAGGATTGTACATCTAGGGCCCAATATGGCTACTCTCGAGGACTGTATGTACAGAAGTGAGCAACCACTAAGCAAAGGTCTTACGTCATACCAACTCCGCCTATGGATGTCCTAGAGTTCCCACATCCAAACAAAGAATTAATATTGAGTTTATATACAGTCATTCTCCATTTACTGCCACCGGGTTCCCAGTGTTGATACCTCTCAGTCACTCCTTTCAAGTAATCCCTAGGGACTGCTATCAGAGGGAAGAGCTGTTTTGGGAGTCTTGTGTTCAGTTTTGGGCGCCCCCACTACAACAAGAATGGGAACAAATTGGAGAGAGCCCAGCAGAGGATGACAAAAATGGTGATGGGACTGGGGGACATGATTTATTAGGGAAGACTGAGGGAACTGGGCTTATTTAGTCTAGAGAGGAGGAGACTGAGGGGAGACTTAATAGCAATCTTCTACTACCTGATAGGGGGTTTAAAAGAGGAGGAAGGTAGGCTATTCTCAGTGGTGACAGGTGACAGAACAAGGAGCAATGGGCTCCAGTTGCAGCATGGGAAGTTTAGGTTGGATATTAGGAAAAACTCTCACAAGAAGAAACAGGTTACCCAGAGAGTTGGTGGAAGCTCCATCCTTGTGGGTTTTCAAAACCCGGCTAGACAAAGCTTTGGCTGGGATGATGTAGTTGGGGCTGGTCCTGCTTTGAGCAGGGGGTTGGACTAGATGTGACCTCCTGAGGTCCCTTCCCACCCTAACTTTCTGTGATTTTAAAGGAAATGAAATCTGGCCCATAATGAGAATATTTGAGGTATTCCTGGGCAGCCCCTACTCTCTGGTGTATGGGTGTATATCTAGGGTATTCTAGATGTACAGAAGAATAGCATGCTATGTGACTATCACACTAGCATGGCTGCGAGCAGAATGTGGCCTGTCGCCTCGGACTTACACAGAGCCTCAAGTCCCTCTTGATATGGAGAAAGTTGTTGGCTATGCTGCTGACTTTCCTCTTGACAAGGAAACTGGATTCCTCACAGTGTTTGAAAACATTTGCCAGGTAAAACCTCATCAAATGACGTAGGAAACAACACCTGTCCACAGGCTACAAGAAAGAAAAAAAAAAAGGCTCTGTTAGGTCCAGTAAAAATCATTGTTAAAACAAATGAATCTTGTTCCTGTGTTATTTGCTTTGCCATCTATCCACACGGCTGTCAACTCTTGCAGCAAAAATCACCTGTTCCCCGTGCCCATGTTTCTCTTGAATATTACAAGACACGCGGATTCTGTACGTACCTCAATGTCCTGCAAAGAATATGATTTGGGTAAGAATCTGACGTCGGTGTTTTTATCTTGAGATTGCTGAAAGGGAAGAACAGAGAGAAAGAGTCAGATGCATGTGCTGACTTAGGAAGCTGACCTTTTGATCCGTTCAGTAGGACTCTGAGGTACAGACGTATTTCCACCCACTCTGTACTTACAAGCATCTCCTTGACAGCTGCAAAGTTGTGTCTCAGTTCGTGGAAATGCATGTTGATCTCGCACTGTGCCAAGTGGAGCCTTTTGAGGCTGGCAGTGGGTTGCAAATGCAGCAGAAATGCAGTGAGAACGAGACAGAGGAGACGCAAAACTTTCATTTCTCTGAAGGATGCTGACACTCAGGTATTCAGTTGTAGGAACTATGTAATAGAAAACAAAGCAGATCTCAGTTACCCTTGGATTACAGTGATCACAGTTTTTTTTCTACATAGAAACAGGTGGAATTCAAAGCACAATGTGTTTAGAGACAGACCAAGTTATTGCGGCTGAAACCTTCTTATTTGCTCCCCTTCAAGCTGTTTGTTACCTCTGTTAATACTTCTGCATTTGCTTAGATTTATTTCAACTCAGCCATTTATCCTTATGCAATCGGCATCTCTCTTCTAGACATCACTTCTGCATTTGGCCTACTGGGTAACTTTGAAAAAGCACCTTGGAATCTGACCTACGGGACAGACAGAGCCTGTGTCGTTTTAATCTCATATGTTAGAATTAAGCCCTGGACAATTTTCTGGATCTGAGCAGCAGAAAGTCTGGGCCAGTGAGGAGTCACATCTCAACTTCGCAGTCGGATTGATCTGAGCCAAGAACCCCAAGGACTAAAACCCCTAACTGGGGATATTCACATCTGGATCCCAGTCTTGAGCCAGATCCAATCTGAGGACAAATCAATATGAAATTACTGGCCAGACAGCTCCAAACTCAAGCAGATTTCATTGCACAGATGACAGAGAGAGAAACAGAATGAAAAGAGGACTTTGACTCTTGTAACACTGAGCTTAAACAAAGCGGAAGGAAATCCAGAGACACAAAGATGTATGTGTTAGTTCAATTATTAAATGTAGTGATAGTGATATAGATTTCCAGGCTATTTCTTGTTTGTATTTCACTATTCACATCTGGACCTGAAGCTGTTCCCAATGAGAGTCTTGCCACGTGCTTCACTAACAGTTGTCTAATAGGATAGGAGGACAGCTAAGCTAGGACTTCATCCGTTGCGCTTGGGGAATATGTCACCGCAAGGTTTTACTTTCCTTGTATGACATCAGCGTAGTGTTTGAGGTGACATCTTGCAGAAAGACAGCAGGTCACTGTTCTGGTTCCTGGAAGGTTATGATGTCATAAGGGTGAAACTCAGCCCTGTGCAGAGCACCACTTAGAGCCTATGCACCAATAATGGCCCATCTTCTGTGAGGTCTCACCAGGGGATTCAGTGGCACCCTGAGAGGCAAAGCCACGTTTAATCAAGCTGTACATAAAGCATTTAAACTGGTTAAAGATAAGCAGTGAAGTGGATTTGTTTGGAAACCATAAGGGCCTATCTCAATGTGTTGGCACTTGGGGAACGGGGCTGGTATGGACAGGGTACGTGGTGCTCAAGTCCACAGAAAGATGCAGGACTATCAGTGTCTGGCTTTACATATTATGAGACAAATCCATAATCATGTTTTAACTCCAGTGAAATCACACCTAGACTGAATTTGAGCAAGGACGTCCATCTAAGCTGTCCCTGAGCAGCAGTCGTAGGCGAACATCGGTCCTTCTGGATCAGGTCTATGCATGAGAGGTCACTAGGGTCACCATCATAGAGGACATTCTGGTTTTCTCCTACTCTGTCCTCTCTTGATACATAACCCAATGCCTTTATGTTCTCTATTTTTCTGTTCAGCAGAAACATCGGATTATGCAGGATCGGGTTATGTATCAATAGAGGACAGAGGACAACTGGACTGTCCTCTATGATGGCCACCCTAGAGGTCACCCAGACCTTTGATATGCATGCCCAGAGAGGAGGTTGTGAGGAGTAGAGGCTGCCCAGACTTTCCATCCCCCTTTAGGCCACCAAGACAGAATCCAAAAGCCAGATTGCGTCCAGATGTTTGGTACCTCGATGACTGTAGTTACGCACATGTCCAGGAAGCGAACTTGGGTTTCCCTCATGGTAGACTAGGATTCTACCACTGAACCTCAACAGCAGGTGTGTTTGAGTAATGCATTAATAAATAACACAGAAAAAAGTATAAGAGGAGATCAGGGAGATAGAAATATCTTACCTTGTTTTACAGTATGTTCTCTCGTCTTTGTGGTATATTGCTTCTCAGCCCCAGAGACTGATTCTCACTTATATACAGATGAGCAAAGGAAATGAAATTCAAACTGGAATTTCCTCGGGCTTTCTATTTTCTCCATGCATTTCCTTGCTGAGCTTAAATGAAACATCTTAGAAAGTTCCACAGTGTTGATATCAGGGCCAAGCACCTTGAGAAATACCAGTTACAACAGCTCCTGAGAGTGTCCAGATCACCATTTTATATGCCATCACATCCTTAACCTGTTGGAGAGCGAATATTTTTCCTCCTTGTGCCTTTCAGTATAAGGAAAAAAGACAGATTGATCATACGAATCAACCAGCAGCAAGACCAAACTAAAAATTCCAGTAGATGTGTCATTCTTCTTTGATTTCTAGATTGCATTAGCTATGGGCACACCTGTATGTACTCACATCCTTTAGGATTGCTTTTGTGCTCGCTCTTACTCAGGACTCCTGTACCACAGGCAACTGGCACCAGGAGGCTGTGGTCACAATTCCACCTTGTAGCTGAGGAGGGCTGCATGCTAACCTGCCTGACACCTTTGCTCAATGGTGGGACACCCTCTCTTTAGTGCTACCTGCTCCGAAACCCTGGCTTTAAGGGGCAGATTCTACTCCACTTATTAGGTACTTAGACTTAGCTGTCTGATTGTGATCCTCTTCCACCCTGCTCAAGGCCCTAAAAAATAATTAATGAAGGAGACAAGCAAGCAAATCCTCCTCCTCTTCACTGCTTTTTGTGACTTAGCCATAAGGCTAAAATGATCGTGTGTTACAAATAGGGGTGCATTAAAGATTTTTTAGGCCTGTGCGTGATACGGAGTAAGGTTACTTAGGCATCTTATAGGTGGGGGTAGGCTTTGGCTTGAAGGCTTTTTTCCTGTTGGAGCCGAACTCATGCATCTGTGCGCGTCTGTCATGGGCAGGTGTTTGTCAAACATCAGTAACTAGCCATTTTAATCATTTTTGTCACCATGTCTGTCATCAGACCCAGTCTGAGCAAATTCTAACCACTCTTTGCACCTGGGACTTGACAGTCACCTTGGTGGGGTCCCCTGACCCCCAGTTACCTTCCCTGCTTGGTGCAGGGGGCTGGACCCGATGATCTTCCAGCCTTACAATCTACAAATCATCTATTGCAGAGGACTAGCACACAATCTGTGCACCATGCGAGTCCTGACTTGGGCACTTCAAAAAAGCAAAAGTGCTGTATGATCCCTCAGGTACACTGTATTATTCACTCATCTATACTATAAATTAGCCACCATAGGAATCATAGAAAACAAGGGTAGGAAGGGACTTCAGGAAGCCACCTAGTCCAACCCACTGCTTAAAGCAGGACCAGCCCCAACTACATCATACCAGCCAAGGCTTTGTCTTGCCAGGTCTTGAAAACCTGGCAAGGATGGGAGTCCACCACCTCTCTGGAGAGCCTGTTCCAGTGTTTTACTACCCTCCTAGTGAGAAGGTTTCTCCTGACATCTAACCTCAACTTCCCTTGCTGCAACTTGAGCCCATTGCTCCTTGTTCTGTCATCTCCCACTACTGAGAACAGTCCAGCGCCATCCGCTTTGCAACAGCCCTGCAGGGAGCTGAAGGCTACAATTAAATCCCCCTCAGCCTTCTCTTCTCCAGACTAAGTAAGCCCAGTTCCCTCAGCCCCTCCTCACAAGGCCTGTTCCCCAACCTCCACACCATTTTTATTGCCCTACCCAGGACTCTCCAATTTGTCCACATCCTTTCTGTAGTGGGGGGCCCAAAACTGAGCACAGCACTCCAGACATAGCCGCACCAGTGCCACATAGAAGGGAAGAATCACTTCCCTCGATCTGCTGGCAGTGCTCCTACTAATGCAGCCCAGGCTATTAGCCTTCTTGGCAACAAGGGCACACTGCTGGCACATGCCCAGCTTATTGTCCACTGTCACCCCCAGGTCCTTTTCTGGAGAGCTGCTGCCCAGCCGGTCAGCCCCCAGCCTGCACCGGTGCATGGGGTTGTTCTCTCCTAAGTGCAGGACTTTGCACTTGTCCTTGTTGAACCTCATGAGATTTCTTTTGGTGCAATCCTCCAATGTATCTAGGTCTCTCTGAATCCTGGCCCCACCCTCCAGTCTATCTACTCTATCAAATAAATCCTTTGTAGAAAAATAAGAGAAACTCGCACGTTAGACTCAGGTAAGCGAGTGTTCAGAAGTTGCACAACAGTCCAGACAAAACCCGCATCATTTGGAATAGTGTTTATTTAAGGTCATATCAGTGCAGTATCTGCATACAGAGTATCATTGCGGATCACACAATACATATGGGAAGAACACGGTTCTTTTTCTGTTCGACAAAAAATTATCGTACCTGGAGAATTGTTTCTCATGCTGAAAAACATAATTGCACTAAAGCAGAGACTATTATTTTCAGAGAAAACAGCAATTCTTTAGTGGTTTAATAAAGGAAAACTAGAGACTAATCTTGCTAAATTTTGCAGACAGCCCTTCTGTCAGCTTCTCATGCAGCACACCACACACGGGCATCTTACAAGACTCAGCCGTAGCTTTTAAATATCAGACTGCAGTAGCACCCCTCCTCCTTCCCCCGCCCAAATCCACTGAAGATACATAAGACAGCAGGACCTGTCTGCTATCAGGATAAAGGGACCATGTTAACAATTACCCTTAATAATAGAGAAAGGCTTTTAAGGCAAATCAGCATTGTAAGAGTTGTGCTAATTGGAAAAGCTAAAGGTGAACTTGAAATGTTTGGTTCTTCGTGCAAGACACTAGGGTCAGGTCCATATGGTGCAAGCCAGGACCATGCTGAGATGTCGTGCCCACTCCACCTGCATCAGGTCCCAAACCAGAAGTAGTTTAGCTGAGATGCAGAACCTACAGACAGGCACCTTTGGGTTGGGAATCAGCATACAAGGAGCAGATGTAGCGGGTCTCAGCCTGGGGGCAATATGTCTCAATGTGCTCCTCCCCTGCAGCATATGGACATGCCATCTGGGTCTAAATACCTATCTGTCTATCTACCTACCCACCCCAACAATCATGTTGTGATCAAATGCCCCTTGAAGCCAATGAGAAGATGCCAAAGAGCACTGAATCAGGACATGATTTTGAATGCATCACAGCATAAGAGCAGTTTTCAAGCGCCTTTAAAAGCTACATGCTGCTGGCAGGTTGTTGTTCTGCTCTAATAAGCCTTCTCCATCCAGTCTAGCAGGATATCCAGCTCTCCTAGGGATTTCATCGCTGCGTTTTTGACATTCAGCTGGAAGTGGATTGAAAGAAAAATCAGTTAAGTAACTTCAGCAATTTGCAATGAGCAAAAGAGTACCTGACTCCGCATTAATTAATATGTTGAACAATAGTCCCATCAATTTACCTGGCCGTAATTGGTAAGAATTTGTTTATATTTCTGTGTTGCTTCCTCTCCACATCTGCACAGACTTTGTTGATGCTGGAAAAAAAAATAATTTATTAATAGGGTGGGGGTTTTTTTTTTATAAGCTGCGGGTTTCTGATTGACAGAGATAATTTCGTAGGCAAGGGCCTTGCTAAAGAGTGCAAAAGGCTGCGTGGAGTTCAATCACATTTCCCCAAAGGGTGAAATTTGGTCCGCAGAGAGGATCAGCGCATGGTTCCACTTCAACACTATTTGGAGGGCTCACATGGGAGTTAAGTGGTGCCTGGGAAAATCTGAAGCCAAATACAGATGAACCCCACTTTTCATGGCACTCTCATGCTTCTGCTTCCTCTTGATACCCACAGTAATGTTCACTCTTACGCCCTCCCTGACCCCTTTTTTTTTTTTTTTGAACTTCAAAAAAATGGCCAGGCTATTTTTTTGTTTTATTTTGTTTTGTGTTTTTTTCATTTAGGTAAGACAGCTTCCATCATATCCCCAAAGCTACGGGATTTGCTATACGAAGACTTAGTAAAATCCAACATACACAATGCCTGAAGTTCTTCTTGATGCTGAGGAAAGAGTTGGCTATGCTGCTGATTTTCCGGTTGACCCACGAATCCTCCGTCTCACAGTGTTTGAAGACCATGTCCACATAGAATTTCAGCAGGTGGTGAATGAAGCAGCATGTATCTTCAGACTTAAGAGAAATAGTTTATGTTCTTTACAAACTGCTATAAAGATATGTAGTCAGCAGTCATTCAATCCACTACTACCATGCAGCCAGCTTTGGTGGCAAATATGGTAGGAGATGGGATAATATTTATGGTATTTTTGAGAGAAAACTCATCATCTTGAAATGCTTCCAAGCATGGATACCTTGAAAAGTACCCATTCAAAACTAGCTGTATGGGACATAGTCTCAGTCGTTACAGATGACAGAGCAAGGAGCAATGGTCTCAAGTTGCAGCAAGGGAGGTTTAGGTTGGGTATTAGGAAAAACTCTCTCACTAGGAGGGTGGTGAAGCACTGGAATGAGTTACCTAGAGAGGTGCTGGAGTCTCCATCCATGGAGGTTATTAGGCCCAGCTTGAAAAAGCGCTGGCTGGGATGATGTAGTTGGGGCTGGTCCTACTTGGAGCAGGGGGTTGGACTAGACGTGACCTCCCGAGGTCCCTTCCACCCTCATTTTCTATGAGTCTATATTCAGTTTTTTTAAAAAGCAAGTGGTTTGAAGATGCAATAATGATACTTACGTTGACTCTATGCAGTGAATATGGGAATGACAAAATGCTGGTGGTTCTGACGGTGTCTCGGGCTTGCTAAACAGAAAAAGGCAAAATTCAGTCAAGTTGATCTTGGCTACAGGGATGTTTAGGCAGCCAGCATAAACAGAGCTTTTCTCTTTAAAATTGCTCTTAGATTCCTGACCTCTGGAAAGCAAACCTGCCTGCAGAGTATTGTGCCTTAATGCAAGCTGTCTCTTGCTTGGCCTATCACCCCGTCTTGTCCCCAGAATAATTTTTGAGGAGAGAAAAGGGGAATTCATTCTCCATGGGCCCTTCATTCCTTGTCCCTTTGCTGAGACAAGCTGTTTGGCTGTTATCTGGGATATGTTGTTTTCCAACGCCAGGAGGAACAGGACTCAGACCAACCAAATATCAAATACCGATCACGGAAGAGCCATCAGTTGGGGAAACTTTGAGGGTCCAATCCTGCTAGCACACCTGAACAGCAACATTTTGCATTCCCTGTGCACTCGCAGGCAAGTGACAGCCCAACACAGGGGGACAAGGAAAATTCTGGCCCTCGGTCACCGTGGAAGCCTGCTATCACAATGTCCCAAGCCACCAAGCCCCCCAATCTAAAGGAGACATCGCACAGTCTTGTCTACATCAGTGAAGTGCATTGCCATACTTACAATGTTTGCTTTAATTGCTGTGAAGCCAGTCCTGATTTCGTTGACATTCATCAAAATCTCACACGACCCAAAATGGAAGATTTTGTTGGCAGTGGTTGGTGTCCAATGCAACCCACAGATAGCCAAGAGGAAGCTAAGGCAGAGGCAAGAGACCTTCATACTGCTGCAGGGGGAGTGAGTGCTGGAGAGCTGTACAAGATGGGAAAAAACCCTCTTCATTAGCCTCTATCTGAGGCATTGAAAAATGCCATTACCCCAAACAGAAACATTCTGCCATTCAAGGTCTGCAAAAACATGCAAAATCAATGGCAAACCTCCCATTAAACAGAATGGGGCCACGATTTCAACCCAGGTCCCCATCACCATACATAAAACACACATGTGGTCAGAAGGCTCCATGCATCCATGGACAACTTTTAAAATTTTAAATCTAACTTGAATTTTAAACTCCCCGCCTCCCCTTACCCTAAAATAATTAGCCAAATCATTCATCCTCATTGAGATTTGCACATATGCAATGTCCAACCTTCCAAAGCTCAGAGGATGCAGAATTTTATGCACGATAAATTGATATGGGCAGGGCAGGAAGTGGAGTAGTGCACAAGACGGGTACACATGTGTATATTCAGATGCCTAAAGCAATCTGTGTGTTTATGCATCTCGTAGATCTGCTTTGAAGGTGACAGGCACCTTGAGACCAACACTGGAAAGTTTCATCACAAGCGTTTCCCCTTATAAAAATCGGAAGTATCCATAAGTAGCAGACTAGTATAAAAGTAATTGTCATACCTTACCTGGGGTTTTAGGCGTCATTGAAGTTTATCTTATTTATGAGCAAAATCTCATGAATAGGTACACGTAGCTAAGCAGATGGCAAAGGGTGCAAATATCCCTATATGCATGTAAATAGGCATAGCAGACGGAGAGGTGACAGACATGCAGATATAGTAATGCCTTACCTTAATGCTATGAAGCACATCCACTTGCTGCTCAATGTGCTGCCTCACTCGGGGAGAGCTGATCATTTTTATGCTGCAGTAGGGAGGAAATGGCTCTGGATCAACTTTCGGGATTTTTCCCACCTTCCTCAGCACTATATTTCCCTTCTTAATCTTCTGAGCAGATTAGCAAATAAAATGGGACCAAATTTATCCCCCTCGGGCATTATTCCATCTTCGGAGACTGGGAATTCATAGCATTTCCTTGTGGTTCTTACTTCAGGAGACAGGTAGGAGGAGGTGGTGCGTCAGGGTAACACCTACTAACTTGCACATCTAAGGAATCTGTGAGCTCAGTTGACTTTCCACTGCCACTAGCTGCTTGCTGCAAAGATCTCCCTTGGGAAAAAAACCCAACAAGACTGTCCTTTAAGCTTCAACAGAAGGCTGGGAGTATATCGAGGGGAGGTAAACACAGCATAGATAAGCAACAGGATGGCTAGAGCCCCCAGCTATAGTTTCTGTACAGATCACAGCAGGATCTTCCACTGTGGTATAGGAGACCTGACCTCCAGAGCTGCAGCTCAAATGGGTAGACAACAGGACACCTGACAGAAGCCTCCTTCCATCCCTTAGGTCCATCTGAGTTCTACTATCGTCGCTAGAGAGGCCTAGAAACACAACAAGGCCCAAACCTTTAGTAACAGAGTGACTAGCTAGATTTGCAGGAAAGCAAGTGCTTTTAGTGCACATTATGCAAGTCCAGAGTGCATGTGTATAGCTGTTATCGTGTCTTGCTTTTACTAAAGACACAGTTAAAGTTCAGGGTCCTATCACCCAACAGAAACTCCACTCAACTCTTAAATAAATCTATAAGCCCAATGCATCAATTCTTGTTTTTTTTCCCAACAAGCTAAGATTGAAACCATGCTACCTGTTGTAAGTAATGGGTGCCTAAAGGAAGCTGGGATTCAGCTTTAGGTCAAATGATATTAGAGAGGAAAGCATGCGTCTACAGGAGTTCAGCCTCAGCACAGGATTCACTATGATGCGGACCCACTTCTTGAACTCTTTGTCAAGTTTTCCTCAATCCTAGAAGTCAGGAAGAGCCTTGCCTGATAAGAAGTGATGGAGAGGCAGAGTGAGTGGTGTTTACCTCATTCACCTAATAGATGGCCTTGGAAATATCTCATGAATTCATTGTCAGCAATTCAAATATTTGAGGAATGTCCATGACGCTGGAGCAGAGACCGAGCACGCTCTGCCTTCAGGAAGCGCTTGTTCTGCCAACACTACCATGGCGCAGGCCTCAAGCAAGTGGCCAAATGGAAGAACCCAAGCCAGACCTCTGGGATGCAGTCCTAAAACAGAAATAAACTTGAGAAAAAATGATGTCAAAGAGTAAAGAACTGCTGATCCAATGTGCTCATCATGCATTTGTTGCTGCTTGACATTCAGTGTGGGGCAAGGCTAAATTTGACTTTCATGTACACAGGACTAGATTTGACATGGTAAGTCAATACCCTCATTTTTGGGGCAGATACCAAATTAATGGAGTTTTAAGGGCTGCTCTTTTCTTTGCATTGTCACGGACACAGCTTGCCAGAGGTTTGCACTCACTCCATAGAGGGGCTTTTGAGAGTCTACCTGCTACCAGAAGTGAATAGTCACTACTGCGGTACTGCTTTGACTTCCAGCTCTCTCAGGATCAGAGCTGTATTATCTCTGTCCATCTTTCCGGTAATTTAGGCACGTAGCCTGGGCCCTCAAGGTGGGCATACTGCTTTGTCTCACCTCATGCCAAGCCCTGATGACCCATAACCACGTTACTGGGACTCGCGTGTGGTACCAGGGGACACAGACATCAGGAATGTGCCTGGAATAACAGCAGGTGTTCAGAGAATGGGGTTTGCCAACTGACCTGGCACCATTGATGGCACAAGTGTCTCTAGTTTGTCCTCAAGTCCACCAACCATGAGTTTTTCCAATGAGCGAGTGTGACTCAGAGTGTGAGAGAGAGAGAGAGAGAGAGAGAATAGGAGTGTGTTAAGGTATCACTAGGAGACACTTAGCACTTGATTTTTATATTTTTAAAACTTCCATGGTTGCTATCTAGGCACATACATGAGGCTGGGATAATGGAGATCCAGCTGCTAAATGAACAAGCCACTGAAGTGGTTTCTGCCTTAAACTGAAGTGTCTCATGTCCTGGGAAACTCCCAGCTCTCCTGAATTGTGACTTCATTGGCCACCCATCAGGAAATCCCTCCATTTTTATACCCAAACTTCCCCTCAAAAGAAGAATCAACAGGGTGGGGATCAGTCACTTACTGAGCTGAGGCTCTGGAGTCTCTACTTCAGTCTCTGCAGGGTTGTTCATGGATTGTCCTTCTCTGGATATTCTCCCAGGACCAGCTGGCTTTGAAGGATGCTATGGGTTGCCATGAACCATGGATCATAGCCACATCCTAATAGCTTTTTACAACAGGCTCATCCCAATCTCCCCTGATCGGCCTATAGAAGAAAAGAGTCACAGGAAGCAGGATTTTTGGTGCTTTTCTCTGGCTCTGTATAAGAAGGGCATAAAGAAGTGACAAAATCTAGGCCCCAGTTTGCATCCTTTGTCTTTGGTACAACTGCTTGAGGTGCCTGGGCTCTGCCTTGGCACTGTGACCGGCCCTGCACGTACCCAGCTGAGCAAGCTGGCTTGAAATTGTGTCCTAAGGGTGAATGATCCTGCTATTGCAACTGGAAGTGTAGCCCTCCACATGCTCACCCCAGCATGGTAGCTGCGTGTTTGGAAGGCCTCTTCAGCTTGGCAGCACAGGACCACCCAGCTTCTGGTATTAGAAAGCAGAGCAGGAGATGTGCAGAACAACTGGGACACAAGGAAAATGTAGGGATGCCACAGGAGGACCAGCTATCTGAGCCCTCTCTCTCACGGTTACACTATAACCCACAGCAAACTGGCCTTGCACAGCAATTGAGTATCGGCTTAAATGGACACAGACCCAGAAACAGAGCATATCGTACAGCCTAAGGCTGGACTCACAATGGGAAATGGGAATAGGGGTTTTTCTGTGGGTGATAGGGCAAGAACACCCCACCCACCCCGCCAACCCCAAATATGCGACTGCCTTGCAGAGCAGACCGGTCTTCTGTGAGGGGACTCAAAGCAAGGCGATGCTTATCAACATTTGGAAACCTGGGACAGCCGTAGACCTCACAATACATATCCTCCCATATCGCTATGCAGGCAATGCAGGGAATCCTGCGGGTTTTTCTGGGCACTTGGCAGGTGGCTGACTGAGCCGAAACTCATAGAAGCGTAAAAGTTAGAAGCAGAATAGTCATTTGGGCCACCAGTCTATCCACCCTAAGGACAGGTCTCCTATCCCCTACCACACTCTACAGGACAAAAAACTTTCAGTCTCTCAGATGTCTTAACACATGTTCTTTAAGAACGGCCATGCTATTAAAGCTGAAACAGCAATGTGCATATGTTGTCCTGCACTGCACAAATATGCTGACTGTCAGCTAATTTCTATGGGGTGGTTTTTTACCCCCCCTAAAATTCCCTATGCGGAAAGATAATAAAGACCTCGGTGGGTAACGGAGGGAGACTGGAGGGATGAGAGGGGAAGAAGCCAGAGCCCTGGAGTGAACCAAATACAGAATCCATAATAGTTGCTATGGTTAAGACTACTGGAAAGGACCATTCTCTCTGATTATCATTAGGCAAATTAATCCCAAAAGTCTGGTGGTCTGCAAGTCCCGACACGGCCTCCAATCCAGGGAAGCAAACGCCCAGCTCCATCCCTGTTAGCCTGCGCTACAAGGAAAAACTGTTAGTGCAACCGCAAGCAGAACTACATCTGCACCACAATCTGTTTGTTCTTTGCCGCAGAGCTGGAAAGATCCCCTATAGCCTGCAGCAGCGTTGCACAGCGCACTCCTCCCTGGGTTCCCAGCTGCTGTATGTCAAACAAAACTGAACTGCATGTTCCACCTGCGAGGTGCATTAGAGCAAATAAAATTCCCAGCAACCCCCGCACTCCCGATACACACCCAGAGCCCAGTAAGGAAATAAGAAGGAAGAGGCACGAAATTGTTAAGGAGATTTTATGTAAATTGAGGATGAAGGGAAATTTTAAAGCTGAGTATTCAAAAATGTCAGCCCTAGGCTAATAGGTAAGTAATATTAAGCAGTACTTTAAACAGGCAGGCAGGAGCAGGCTCATTCTGCAGGGAGATCACTATCCTGAGACTCTGGACGCCCAAGTCCAGCTCCTTGTTCTACCAGACTCTCTGTGGACAAGTCGCTTAGCCTCTTTGTGCTTCTGTTCACTACATGCTGAATGATTAAAACAGCACTGCCTCACCTCAAAAAGGCGTGGAGGATGAATGCGTTAGGGACTGAGAGAGCTCATGCAGCTGTTGGGAGAGCATAGACATACCATACATGCGTGTGCAAACGTGTGCGCGCGCATGCGCAACCCCACACACACACACACTCATAGCCTGATTGCCTTTCCATAAGCATCTATCAGTTTGACACCAATCTAAGAAACTTAACAGAAAAGATAACTGAGCCCGGCTTGTCTTGTGGGTTCCCTCTGCTGCAAGTTTCCAAGAGCCATTTTCTTTTAATCAAAACTAATATTTTGAACCAAATATCATCAGTGTTTTTGTGTTTCGCAACAAAATCCATGTTCCCAGCCAAAAGTGACAGGTGTTTATTAAAGCATCCTGAAGCTATTGTACATGTTACAGTAATCAAAACAGGAAGTTTTCCATTATTGAAGACCAGAGTTTGGTAGCAAACGTACCAAATAATGTAGACATTTGGTGTTATGCTGTATTATAGTTTACCAGAGGGTAGGGCCAGGATTCAGAGAGACCTAGATACATTGGAGGATTGCACCAAAAGAAATCTCATGACATTCAACGAGGACAAGTGCAAAGTCCTGCGCTTAGGAGGGAACAATCCCATGCACTGGTGCAGGCTGGGGAGCAGCACTGCAGAAAAGGACCTGGGGGTGACAGTGGACAATA